AATTTAAAGAAAGCGTAATTTGCTATCAAACAAGTACAAGAAATAATTTTTTACTTGCAGGGTTTCCATAAAAAAAATTATTTGAGTTTATAAATGCAGTCAAAATCAATGATAAAAAGGCATGCTACTCAAGTAGCTAGTTTTTAAAATAGATACTTTTTGCTGTTAGTCAGAACGAAGATCGTTAAAAAGCCCGCATCCTATCATGACGGAATAAACTTCAGAATAGTCTGCATGATAATCAGTATCACAGCCTGAGTCAATACCGATTAGCGAGAGAGTATCAATCTTTCGCCTATGTCTAAATGTTGCGTGATCCGTGGCGTCTACTGTACAACTGCGCTGACTCATGCTGTCTTCGTTCGCCAAGTTTTGCACATTGCGCACACTAGTCCATTCGCACGGTCGCTGTCGACTTGCCGCGTATACGCTCTAAACTAATCGATACTCCCGCTTCATTTGATTGGCTGCAGACGGCAGAGCACTCATCACGCAAGCAAAGTTACACAACAAGAGGTCACAACTTCGCGGACACACCTGACGTGCAGGCGCAGGTGGCTCATAACACAGCGTTTGTACCGTTTATCTTCCGGGAGTAAGACTCTGTCCACCAATTCCGTCTTCCTTGAATCGTCAGTTGGGGATCCTTCTCTGCTCGATGCCACAACCTTCAGTAGCGGCTCCGACCACCTGCGCCCGATCGCGCCTCCAATCTTCTTAAACCCATCCTGACACCAGACACGGGCGGCTGAAGAAGGAGAAAGTGTTGTAGATGCAACGTAAGTTTACCATCACTTCAAACTAAACCGCGCGTAAGTCAGCTTCCGTGCACCATCAGGCTGTTAAGTGCATGGTGGATTTCATCAGAATCGATGGTCGAAATGTCGTGTGTGCTGCAAACGAAACTAACAGATAGCTGTTTTCCAGAAGCGAAACTTAACAAATTAAATTTACATATCTAGTTTTTTTAAATACACGAACAAAGCGTAAGAATGCGAGCGCGCTAGTTAAGATAGTGGAAATTGGGGTCGCGAACGGGAGTGAAAAACCGGCAACGTTGGTTAGATAGCTCAGACGAACCGAACCCCATTTCGTGATGACCAATCCCATTGAATGAGAGAACTTGAAGCCTCTTGATATCCGCGATTTAAGATATAATGGCAGTTGCAAACGTTGTAAGCCCATCTCCTAACCCTAAACTTAAGCATACAGCCTAACTCTAGCTCCTTAAGCCTATATCTGGTCCGTTAGCCTAATGTTAATGGTAAAAATTGAGGGGTGCGAGTGAAATAAACACGGATTAAATTAAGCCTACCTAAAGTAGCCTACCTAAGTAGCCATTATAAAAAAGACTTTGTGGGCCCATATATCCACTTGTCACCGCTTTTTACCACCCACATCGCAGCTATTTTAAGGACACGTGTTTTATATTTATTTATAAAATGTCTTTTTCAAATCGTCAGAATACAAAATCAAGGCTAAATTAGGGGATGCTAAGTGGAAGACGACAAAGAATAACCAGACTGTGGCGTCAGCACTGGTCACAATACGTAAGAACAGGTTATGGTCTCTGGGTAGATTAGAACTTGGCGATCCGTGCGGGAAGTCGCATCTTTCGGGGGCTTTAGTTCTTGACACTGCCTGCTATAGAACCGTGTCCCCGTCACTTCGCGACTCTCTAAAGACGAGCTGTTGTCTATCAAGTGGGTAGTTTATCTCTGCCAAAGTCATCCGGCTCAGTTCATCGAGGCAGTTCTCTCGTGAGATCTGACGAACTGAGACGGTCGTCTGCGGTCCGTTTCGTCGTCGAGAGTATACTGATGACATGGAAACGTTGGCGCCAATTCGAGGTCTCCTCGGAGCATTAGCCCTGATGTCTACGTTGGATCTGGGGCCAATGGGTTTACGTAGCCTTTTTCCCTTAGCA